TGGATGTTATAATTGAAATGGATGTTATAATCAATATGCAATTTCTATGGAAAGTGAGTGTTGTGATTTAGCTTAGGTTTTTTATTTTTATTTTTTTAATTTTATATATATTAAAATAAATAGGTAAATGGGTACCAGTTTATAACCGCACTGTTCATTTAAATTTCATGTGTAAACAGTTACACCCATAACTATTTAATTATCTAAACGGTTACCCATAACCGTAATTGTGAAATTTAAATGGGTGGGTAACCGCGGTTACCCATAACTGATGGGTATTTGCCCATCCCTGCTTCCTCCTTATCTACATTTTGTTTCAATTGTCTAGCTTGAAATCCAGACATCACTTTTGAAAAGAAAAGAATAAGAAAAGTTAATTGCTTATTGTAAATAGGCAAACAACCCAATAATAGATTCGCTCAAAACTTCTATTAAAGCCGACATCTTTCCACCAAATTGAAAACCAAATAACATACTTACAATAGCTACAATATACGCTAATTACAATAATTTTCAACATACTTACAATAGCCAATTACAATATTATCATTCAAAATGAGATCCCTATGATTCACAAAAAGCTAGTCAACAAACCAAAATATTCACAGTGTAAGGCTAAGAAGCCACAACCTAAGGTTATACGATTAGCAAAATAGAATCCACACCAAAAGGCACCCCATAATATTATCATGCACTTACTTTGTCACTTAGAATCTTTTGGACGAACATTTTTTTGTGTTCGGAATCAATTGACCTAAACACTCCCACATTTTGTGGTTTTTCCAAAATAAGAGTCAGTCTATCAATTTGATAGATAGGAGAAAAACCCATTTCTTTAAGTTCGTTAGCTATATAACTATGATCTGCAATACCTTAAACTATAACTTTAGTTACCATTTGCGTCATTTTCTCACATTCAACATAATATTCTTTTAGTCCATTGATAATTACCTTGGTTGCATCATTTGAACTTCCCGTGCCTCTTTTCCTCTTTCTTTGACTATTGCAGATTGGTTGCTTTGTTGGATTAGCTGGTTCATTGGAGAAACATCATTTTCAGCTCCAATATCACATGTATCAACCCTAATATGGCTTTGCTCCTCCATCATTTTAGTAGGGGTTCTGCCAACATTACTTGTAGCACGATCATTTCCAAATATATACGCAAATGTATCATATAGTGGAAAAAGTTTGCTTCTCCATCCTTTGACATCTTTATTTTTCTAAGATTATATTAACATAGCAATATTAAAATTTAGCATATTAAAAAATATAGCTACAGGAATATAACTAATCGATAAATAATATAGGATATGAACATGCACATAAGTTTGCCATGCTTCGTCACTATCAACTTCAATGCACTTTTTGACATCATTCCATGCAAATACACTTGTGTTTATCATGTCAAGGACTAAACTATATGTTTTTTTTTTACATCTCTTCAACTTTGACTTAATATATGGACTTGCCTTCATATTCACATTAAGACATAAAACATTGACAACTTTTGCAACTTTAATCAAAGGACTTTGTTTGGAAGCATCTGTGTCACCTTGGTGCTTCCTAGTAATAAAATCCTCAAGAACGGATAGAATGATTCTTCTTCAAATGCTTCCCATTTATGCTTCTTTCCTTTTGGCTTTTGAACAATATTCAGATTATTTTAACTATCCATACCTAAACAATAAACATTTGAAAGTACTAAAGCATACAAATCAATTTGCATACAATCCGATCAATAAAACGAATTACATTCAATGGTTTGCAATCCACTTATTTTGCATAATATTCAATCACTAAAACGAATTACATTTCATAATTTGCAATCCAATCATTTTGCATAATATCAAGCATATGCATAAAAAAATAAAAATAAAATAAAAAGGATAACTAAAACAAATTTTTATCATTAATACATAGATCTGGTTCAGTTGTTGGTTACTAATTACTCTCCACTCATTATACATTTCCTGAGCCATGACATTCCTCTTTGCAGCCTATTGGTCAGATGCTCTAATAGTACCGATATATTCACCTTCTTTCGTATTTTATCCATCTTCTATTACTGGCAAATTCTCCATTGGATCTATAAACATCTCTTGCCTAATAAGATTGTGTAGTAGACAACAAGCAGTAATTACTCGACCTTGTGTCCTTATCGAATAGAAAGATAGACTTTTTAGTATCGCCCACCTTCCCTTTAGCAAGCCAAAATAGTGCTCAATTACATGCCTCGCCTTGAAATGCTTCATGTTAAAATACTCTTCCTTATTGGAAGGTGTTTGTTCCTCCCATTTGGATAAATGATAAAGTATTCCTCTATATGGTGCAAGGGATCCTTCACTATTTATGTAACCAACAACTACAATGTAATAATAACCTAATAACCAAAACAAACAGACCTTATTAGTGTTTTACAGTTCAACTAGACCTAACTTTACAAATTTGAGACTAACTAATAGTCTTACCCGTTGGTACCAATAATCCATTGGGCCTAGTAATTTCATCATGTAGTATTTTAGAGTTTGATGCGGAGCCTTCCCACCCTGAAAACACATATATAAACTGCATATTACCTGAACATAATGAGTTGCAACTCGACCCTTTTCTTGTTTGGTATCTTGATTTGTCAATTTCAAGTACATGCATAGCAATGTGCGTTCCATCTAATGCTCCCAAGCAATTCTAAACAAACAAAATAAGCTTTTGTTAGTTTATACAAAGGGAATATCTAGTTAGAGTTTAGGGAAAACGAAAATAGTACTAATATGCCTTAGAACATCGCCACCAATGATCCATAGAATCACTAGGCACAGGTTGATAGGCTTTTATTAGGATACCTTGTAATTGCAAAATTCCTTGCAACACACTATTGATCTACTTATAGTCTCTTCCAACCTATAAAATCTACACCAATACTACGATTCTTAGTATGATGTAATAGTATGTGTAAGGTCATACACACCTGCTCCTCTAGAGACACCAAACCATCCTTTTTAACTCTCTCATCTTGACGAAGTACGTCACATAATAGACCAAAAGTCCTTCTATCCATTCTTAATCCGTTGACGCATTCAGTGTCACTTTTCCCTATTATACCATCCAGATAACACAAACTAATCTCTTGTCTAGCAAGTGAACAATTAGTCAATGTGCGTCTTTCAGCATGTCTCTGTTTGGCCTTTGGCATCATCAATACAAGAATCGTACAAACGCAAATTGCCTCTAAATGAGACTTCTCTAACAATAAAATCAATAAAAGCTTCCTTCGATCCATATCTATTCAAACTAAATATATATATATATAATCACTGTTATTAAGGGCATTAACAAAAGAAGTAATTATGTTATAAAATGAACTTGATCAAACGAATTCATGATATAAAGAGAACCAAAACAACAAATACCAACAACAAAAATAAAACATCAAACAACAGAAAAGAAAATAAAACAAAGTAGAGTTGAGTATCTTTATTTGTCTCTTTGTCAAGAACTCAGAGTCCTGGCCCTAAATGCTAACTTACATATGGCATGCAACACTATTTTTATAAATCTCGTGTGAAACTTTTTATAGGAATTTTGTGATTGGATTCTCAATACTTGGTTAAGAATCTGGTGATCAGACTTGACATAATTTGTATGTAACTTTTCATTTATCAGGTTTTTTTTTTTTTTTTTTCAATAATTGGTTTGTAACTTTTCATTTATCAGATTTTTTTTGCCAAGTTCTACAACTAACTTGTAGGTTCTTCATTGACTTTGATGGAGACTAAACATACAAAACTGACTAATAAAGGGAAAAAAACTAAAAATATGAAACTGAAACCATCATTTGCCTACACCAAGACAATTGCAAAATACATCCATGAGAACACCAAAACAATTAACAAACAATAGCAATTCCAATTTGAAAAAAAAAAAACAAAACAAAACAAAAAACAACCACTATAGACTTAAGCTTTTAGAAAATAAAATGAGCCAGATGCATAGGCAGCAACAACAGAGAACCAATTAGAACATGCTCCATCAGAGCCAAGGGAAGGAAGAGAACAAAGCACGACTATAAGCGAAGCTAAAGTAGAATCTGAAACTCAACCCCACCTTAGCCGATCAGGGAAAGTTAAGAGGGCAGGGGATCCTATCTTTTGAAATTTATATCAAATCCAATTCATGACAAATATTAGAGATCATGAGGTGTTAGTCATGACAAAAAAAGACTTGATAAAAGTTAGATGGAGTCCTCAAATAGAGATCAGGTGTCGATCATTTGTCAAGTATCTCCTTAAAAAAATTCAGAAATGTTGGAATTTGAAAACTCCAAATTCTAATATCAATTTGAACCTAAAAATCAAAACCCTAACCTTTTTTTTTTTTTGTGAGTGCACAGGTCTATTATTGAAAATTTCTCAAGCCCAAAACAACAAAATCAAACAAAGCTAGTAAATTCACGATAAGCAAAACAAAATCATAGAAAAAAATCTCGGATTCGAAATTTACCAGACAAGTAGCAGATGAGGGCGAGCAGGATATAGATGAGGGTGAGGAAGACAAGGATGAGGGAGCTAGGCAAGGAGCAAGTAGGGCGAGAAGCAAACAAGACATGCGACGGCTCTGTCTCGCAAGATGAGCGATGATTCTCTCTTTCTCACAGGAGGGTCTTACGAGTCCGGTGAAATTTAGGGATTTTGGCTAAGAACTCCCAACTAAGGAGATAATCCAAGCAAGTCGTATGTAATCTCATTATGCCTAATCCTTGTGCATACCAAATATGGAACTACACTAGTAATTAGTTTAATCTAATCCAGTCCCATTTAAGAAAGTGAAACAAACACACCCTAACTTTTTTCACGTAACCGTTCCTAAGGTACTCTTTGATAAATTTGGAAATAAGATCCGAATCCTGTGTGTAGGTTTTTAATTTACAATTTTAATTTAATATATTTAATCTATATGCCGTGTCACCACATAATTTAAAGGACCATAACTGTATTTAGATTAAAGTGAAGGGCATTACAACAATTTTCTCAAATAGGAACTACGTGAGAAAAGTACAGCTCAATCCAAAAGAGTTGTGCGACTTTTGACAGCAAAACAAGATCTCGAAGCAGTTCTCGGAAAAAAAGAAAAAAAGAAGAAAGAAAAAACCAGGTATGTCGATGTCGATGTCGATGCCAGGATTTTCATTGAAGCAGTTTCTTGTTTTAGATCTTTTAGACAGATAGCATCTTCTGCATTTCGTTCCAATAAATAATCAATTTTCCCTTACTGGTTCTCTCCGATTTCATTCCAGGACTTTTCATTTTTGAATTAGAGGTAACTTTTCTCACTTAGTTTCACGTTACACCCCATATCCTGTGTTTGTTTGCTGAGAAAATTTTTGAAAAGTAAGAGTCTTAAACTTGAATTTCTTGTTGCATGAGGTCTTAGCTTTGATTTCATTTTCTCATTTTACAACTTAATTGAAGGTAATTTTTCACTTCTGGGAAATTAAAGTGAAAACAAGAAGTTTAGTTGAGTGATGTGTTGCATGTGGTTTCTGGGTTCGGATGAGCAAAATCCTTGTGTCAACGTAGCTTAAACTTCAAGCGAGTTACTATTTCGATTTACTATATTTTCCACCAACAATATAGTGTAATAGTTGGATTTACCTCTTTCATTTTGCCCTATGAAAATATAATAATTTTGGGTAGATTTTAGCTTTCATCGTCTCTCTAATTTGTTTAAAACCTTGCATGTTGCAGGAGATTGGTCAACTTTGTACTTTCAAGAACTCTGCAAAGATTACTACTTATTTTGCAATGAGCTCTGGTTGAAACGGTTGCAATTTGATTCTGTGACCGGATTATGTTGCGGCTGCTTTCGTAGCGGAGGCAGTCTCTCTTTCTTACCAGATTTATCGTAGCTGAAAAGTGTGCTTCTTGCCTGAAACAATTTAATGGAACAAAGTTTAGGTCAAGAGTCCGTTCCTGGTTTTGGATCATTTGACAAGTCTAAGGTTTTAGATGTAAGGCCTTTGAGGCGTCTTGTTCCGTTGTTCCCGTCAGCTTCTAATAATTCTTCATTTTCAACTCCACAAGGTGCTGCTCCTTTTGTTTGTGTTTCTCCTGCTGGCCCTTTCCCACCTGAGGTTGCCCCGTTTTTTCCGTTCTTCATTTCTCCGGAGTCGCAAAGGCCACTAGAACAAAATCTGCAAACACCAATATCAAATGCAGTCCCAATTAATTCATATAGGACGCCTCCATCCACAGAAGCTAATGGAGATACTAGGACAGCAAGAAGGCTTAATCGAAGTCGTGGTCAGCCACAATCCCAAAGTGGGAATGCAGAGGAAGATGGTTTGGATGGAGACAATACAAGGAAGGTGGGGAGGCCAAGGAGTAAGTTCGGGTCTCAGAAGAGGACAAGGGCTGGCCAGGACATTAATGTTGCTTTGCCTGATGTTGACATTGATGCAATAATTGATAATGTTCTTACAACATTTACCAATACATTCCAACAAACTGATAGTGACAGGGAATCGGTTGGATATGCACTCACGTCTTATGACTTGGTGCGAAGAAGGATTACACAAGTTGAAGAGATGAAGGAAAGAATACCAGGAGCCCCAAGAACAGGACGCCCTGATCTAAGGACAGGAACACTCTTCATGAATAAGGGAATTAGGACAAATGCCAAGAGGAGGATTGGTGCAGTGCCCGGTGTTGAAGTTGGGGATATCTACTTTTTCCGAATGGAATTGTGCTTGATTGGGTTACATGCTCCAACGATGGGTGGCATTGATTACCTGGGAGTCAAGAACAGTACAGAGGAAGAGCCCTTAGCATTGAGCATCGTTTCTTCTGGAGGATATGAGGATTCTGTGGAGGATTCGAATGTGTTGATATACAGTGGCCAAGGTGGTAATGCTAGCAATGATTTCAGGAGAGGTAAGGAACTGAAGGATCAGAAGCTTGAAAGGGGTAATCTCGCTTTGGAGAAAAGCTTGCACCGGGGTAATGATGTCAGAGTAATTCGAGGTTTAAAGGATGTATCTAATCCAACTGGGAAGGTATATGTCTATGATGGTCTATATAAAATTCACGAATCATGGGTGGACAAAGGGAACAGTGGTTGCAATGTATTTAAGTATAAATTGGTAAGGTTACCTGGTCAGCCTGAAGCATTTACCATTTGGAAATCAATTGAACAGTGGAAAGAAGAAACTACTACTACGAGAGTTGGACTTATATTGCCTGACCTTACTTCAGGAGCTGAAAATTTACCTGTTTCTCTGGTAAATGATGTTGATGGCGAGAAAGGCCCTGCACACTTCACATATATTTCTAGCCTGCAGTATTCTAAACTGGTGAATCTTACAGAACCTGCTGATGGATGTCTCTGTATTGGTGGGTGTCTCCCTGGTAACTCCAATTGCTCATGCATTAAGAAAAATGGAGATTTTCTCCCGTATACTGCAAGTGGGCTTCTTGTGAACCAAAAATCCTTACTTCATGAATGTGGTCCATCCTGTCAGTGCCCTCCAAATTGTCGGAATCGAGTGTCTCAAAGTGGCCTGAAAGTTCGTCTGGAGGTGTTTAAAACTAAGGATAAAGGTTGGGGTCTGCGGTCACTGGATCCCATCCGCGCTGGTTCTTTCTTATGTGAATATGCAGGACAAGTTCTTAATATTTCTGGGGTAGAAGAAATGGGGAGTGATTATGAAGACGATTACATTTTTGATGCTACTCGTACCTGTCAGCCACTCGGAGTTTTGCCTGGTGATTCTAAGGAGACTTCAAAGGCCCCATTTCCTCTAATTATAAGTGGCAATACTGCTGGAAATGTTGCTCGTTTTATGAATCATAGCTGTTCTCCAAATATACTTTGGCAGCCAGTTTTACGAGAAACTAAAAATGAGGCTGACCTCCATATTGCGTTTTATGCGGTTGGACACATTCCTCCTATGACGGAGTTGACATATGATTATGGGGTGGTCCCTCAAGAGAAAGCATACCATAGGAAGAAAGTGTGCCTTTGCGGGTCAATAAAGTGCAGAAGCTTCTTTTACTAATGGGTGTATCAGATGAGGATGAACTTTGATGAATTATGCATCTAGAAGAAGGTTAGAGGCTTTCAGTTTCCTGACTGAGTTTATTTCTTACTATGATACGTTTTCTGTTTGTCTTGTTTTTTGTTTCATCATATAAATGCTTCTTAAATTAACCGGACTTTAAAGAATGATTAAATCTTGAACAAAGCATGTATGATAATGAAAAAGTTTATGTTTGGTAATTAGTAGCTATTTTACGGTTCATGTGTTATCAATATGAAACATGTGATATGTTATCATGAAATATGTTGATTTTGCGTGAATATCTCGCCTGTTTGAAGTAAAATATGTGGAAGGGACATTCTCTTCATAAAATGTTGGTTCAGAAAATGTGTAAAGAATTCTGTTGTGCATGTTGTGTGTTTGTTGAATCAATTTTTGTCTCAAATTCCAAAGGAAGAGTTTGTCATAAACGCCAGTCAAGCTTTTGGCATTCCCTTGGGTCCTGTTTATCCCATGATCCGTCTCTATTGTATATCTACATACATGCCACTTTCAGGGCAGCAATCCTTATTGTTATTGTTAAATCCTGTATTTTAATAGTTCAATGCCATAGTCACCCATGCATCAAATTTTCATTGAGCTGTTTTCACTTAGTTCACATCGCATGGTGAGAAGTGAGAATATCAAAAACCAGACGCAGAAAAGTAACACTAGGTACAGCCCATGTGGGATTGATTTATTTGTGATAACAAGTTTTAGAGACAATGGGTTTGAGTGGAACTAACTAATGAGTGAAGGTATCCAGCCTTATGATTAGTGAAATGCCATTTGGATCATTAATCATGTCCATAAATATGAACGGTGTATCATAATTTAATGTTAGCATGATTACTGAATTTTTCCTTAAACTTAAGCTAAGTCATGAATGCCTTCTCAATTAACTCTCGACTACTTTTTGTGAGGATCTTGTATCAAATTATGTGGGCCTTGTGAACTTATATAATGTAACTCTGTTGCTCTATTTCTGTACTGATCCTTTTCAGTCTCCAAATATTTATACGTGACTTCATATTTTTTCTATTTAAGTGAAGTTCTTACCCTTTCATATTGCCCTGTCCCTTGTGCAGGTTTGTATTACTTGGCGGAAAGAAGAGGGTGATGCAGTATGTGTGTCCCGTTTTCTGTTTTCTTTATCTTGGAAGGCATCTGGCTTCACAGGTATTGAGGAACATCATACTTCCCCCTTGTGACTTTAGTTAATTGGCACATGCGAGATCCGTTCTCAGCATTGTCAATGTACTATTAATGTATGAAGTTGTAACATTAAAATCCTAGGAGATTTCCTGTGGAAAAGTAGGTTTCTTTGTTGTTTATTAACGACTTGCTTTGTGGAATGGGAGGACCTAAACCCTATGTGCATTTGCACAGGGTTATAAGTGCATTTTCTCTAGGGCATGCACTGGCTTCCATCTGTGCGTGTGGGTTTGTGTTTTCCTTGAGGCCCCAGGCTTGTTGGAAAAAATGGTTTTTGAGTGTTGTAGACCGGAGACTGGGGACTGTTTTGAAGTTATTTTATTGTACAAAATCATATTGTCCATTAGTCCATCTTTGAGAGTGCATAATTTAGGTTCGTAGTTGTGGTTTGTAGAGCTTCTTCTGGAGGAGGTAGTGACTTGTACCCTAGGAGGCTGGTACTTACTAGTTAGGCATTTGTCCAACTTGGTCTGCCTTAGGCGGCTGGTTTCGTACACTCCGGTGCGTTTTAATGTTAGTGGACTGATAGAATGATTTTTGTGTTTTGCTTGGCCTTAAATCTCTCTCTAGTTATACGGTATGCCCCCAGTTTCAGTAAGTTTCGCTGATTGGGGGAAACTAGAGTAGCAGATATTTTGTATGAGTTACTTTCCTTGGAAATGATGCATCTACATGTTGCATTCTCATTTATCAAACGAAGGTTATGCCTCGCCAAATTCCAATGGGAGAGCAACGTATTGAAAGTCCCAAAACCCGACGTCTTCTTTCGGGTGCTTCTCTCATAGGAGCCGTTAGTTTATTTGCACTACGAATGGAGAATAATTGACATGACACTAGTATACTTGCGTGTCAATAAGGTGAAGAAAAAATATTAGGACTCTCTCCTAATTTCTCTTCCCTTCCCTCCTCTTATATTTGAATGGTTACACTTAAGTCATGTTAATATCTTATATTGATTTTTTAATAGAGATAAAATGATAAAAAGTAAAGTGGGAGAGGAGGGGAGAGAAGGAGAAGGGAAAATAAGGGGAGAGAATTCGAGTGCTTGTTTCATTGGTTTGGGACAACACCATACTGTGGTGGTCGTCCAACTAATGGCTATGAAAGTTGTCCTTACATTGAATCGAATGGGTCCCTTAAATTCGACAAAAAGGAGAAAAGAATGGATCCCCTAAAACCAAATTTCAAAAGAACGTGACACCTCTTATCATATAGTGAACGAACAACCCCTGAAAAAGGGTGCTTCACGAGATAAACTCTCCGATCCGATCCGATCAGGTTAGTTTGTTACGTAAAAAAGCAAACTAAAGATGAAAAGGACAAAAAGATAGTGTCCTTTTCTTTTCTTTTTTTTAACAAACGATAATATACATGTTAAGGAATGAGCTTAATCTTATAATGGGTAGCAATAATGTGATTCAAATTCGAACAAACAATACTACCTACACCAATGGAGTGAGTTCAAATTCGCTTTTGATAAAAAATAAATTTAAAATTCTTCACTTACAAGTAAAAAAGAATGGTACTAAATGGTAGTACTAAGCGGCAAGCAAACACTGATTTTATTTATTTTGGTTGGAAAGGACTAGAGACAAATTAATTGTTTCCCAAATCCATAAACGATGAGGATGAGGGGGAATGTTCCATCTACGGCAGGTGCCTGCGCGCCTACCTTCATACGTCAGGCGGATGAATGTTTGTTGGGGAAGTTAGGTGGGGCAGCAGATTTTTCTATGTATGTGTTGGAAACACGAGTCGATACATTATCAATATTTATTTGACTTGCACTTCTACATGCCTTTCACACTATGACAGAAAAAATGAATTATGTCCAACATATTAACTTCATGAGTATAATATCAATATATGAATCACATTACTATAGCAATAGTGTAATAAGTATTAAAAATAAATTGTCTGTTGAAAGAATACATTTTTCAATGCTATTTTCAGAGTAACATTGGATATATTATTTGGGAGCATTTTTGCGCACCGACATTATTATGGTGTATGTTCATCTTACATCTAATCATTTGTCATGTGTTATTCACCTAACTCTAGTTAACTTTTACATTAAATGTTACTTTTTTAATTTTGAAAAAATTAACAAAAATTAATTAAAAAGACACTTGATAGATGATTAGATGCATAGTGAATACACACCAAAATTTAGAATGATAAACAAAAATGCATCCATATTATTTTCTCTCGGGTGGGACCGTGCCAGTGAGACACACAAGATTTCGAACAAGACTTGACTGCTGAATTTTCAGCAGCCACTCCTCCTTACACTCAACACGTGTTCAAGTTTTGATTTTTTTAAAGGAAAAACTAATAAAAAGGGTTTAAAAACTTTGAGTTTTAATGATAAAGATAAAATAAAGGGTAAAGTGAATAGTACCAAAATTGATTTTTTAGTGTAAAAATATAATTTTTCATTAAAGTGTACAATCCCGTGAGCTTTTCGTTAAAATTCCTGTTTTTTAATCAAAACTTGGACACTCTGGATTGGATATAAGCAGAGTGGCTGCTCTTTGGTTTTGGTCTTGCTTGTAATCCACTTCCACTCCCACTTCCGCTTCCGCACATGGGCAGGGCAGCCACTGAGCCTGGCTAGCTTCATTGCTTGCTTGCTTTTGCTTGATGGCCTCTGCTTACGTGAAAGCAAGGCAAACCCCCTGATACTCCTCTCTCTCTCTCTCTCTCTCTCTCTCTCTCTCTCTCTCTATATATATATATATGTATAGCACCAGATAAGAAAACACAGACCAAGTCACCGAGTGAACACACTCTTCTTGGCACTTTTCTGCATGCCTCTTGGAAATATCGATTTTATAAACCAATCTTTCTTACTTTGATTGGAGCTCGGAGTCTTGGAGACCAACAGCAAGAGAAAAAGCGACAAGAGATTATTCAGGTAATTTGTTTGCAGAGTTTTTGAAATGAAATCCACCATCCTTGTGGGTATTCTGTTGGGTTTTTTAATTTTAATTTAAACAAAAATATATTTATATATAGACTAGTTTGAGTTGAATAAATCAATGGTTGTTGGAAGAAATTGTCCTTGATCAGTTCAGTTGGTCAACACAGCATTGCTGTTGCTTAATTCCTGTTAATTGTATTAGTTTGATTGGGCTTCTGTGTATAGTATAGCTGCATTGCCTTAATTATATCTAATTACCTGAAAGCGAGCGCAGTGGCGTTCTAGGATTCATGTACCCGACCCCACTTAGTGGGATAAGGCTTTATTGTTGTTGTAAACGTGAAACGCCATTTTGCACTTTCTGATTCTTGTTTCTTTCTGTTTAATTAATTGATCAGATGTAACTGAATTCTCTCGGTTATCGATACTTTATTAGGCTCTAGTCGGTATTTGGTGTGGAAAGTGAGCAATGGACTCTTGCAAATCCCCTCACATTGTTCTTCTGCTATATCTCTTGCTTTGCTTCTTCTGTCATTGTTTTGCCATTGGAGTTGATACGGACCAGACAGCAAATCTGCTTGTCGATGCTTCTCAAGCATCCGCACGCCCAATATCTGACACGCTGTTTGGAATTTTCTTTGAGGTTCCATTGCTCATCTTTGGTTTCAGTTCCAACAATTTTAATTTAAAAATTGTGCAGAATTATCAGATTTCTAAAAATTGTTCACTGCAGGAGATTAATCACGCTGGTGCTGGCGGGGTGTGGGCTGAGCTTGTAAGCAACAGAGGTTACTTCCAAATTCTCTGAATTCCAGCTAAATATAAAAGTGAATTATAGCAAATATAGGAAACTGTTCGCTCGTCAAACTGTCTAGCAACATAGATGCTTATTATTCTGTTGCTAGGTTGTAAATGTAGACCATGATTAGGTTATTGCGGCATGAATGTGTGGTTCAAAATCAGTCTGGTGACGTGAGCATCTTTTTGACTAGCAAGAGAGCATTGCCAAATTATATAGTCAGCTTCTTAGAAAGGATCCCCTCCTTGCAAGATGTCTCACAGCATTTGAACAGTCAAGCTCTGAGATATCTAGCGAAGACGAGGTCCAGTCTGAAAATACAAGATTTTATGTGTCTGTCAGCTCACACTTCAATGTGCAATTAGAGATGGACTAGACTGTCCTTCACGGAAGTCAATTTTCTTGTGTGAGTGTGGTTGGGGCACAATCGAGAATTTTTCTCCTTTTTTGTATGACACTGATTTCCATCTTTATCTATTTCACTGTCTGCATTGAATACGTACTACCAGATCCCTCTTTTTTTCAACCCTTCAATTTTTCACCATGTTGTCAGTTTTAAGTTTGTCGAAGTTTATGAATGGCTTTGAACTATTCAGTATGATGTTACAAGTTTTTCGTTAGAATTATATCAAATGCAGAGTGTACTGTAGCTAAATATCAAATACTACATGTGCTATACCGGTTCGTTATGTTAACAGGCTGTTTTAAAGCTGGGTTTCTCAATAACTTTTTCCCACAGGTTTTGAAGCTGGGGGACCTAACACTCCTTCTAACATTGATCCTTGGGCTATAATTGGGAATGAGTCCTCTTTGATTGTGTCAACAGACCGTTCATCATGCTTTGACCGCAATAAGGTTGCACTCCGAATGGAGGTGCTATGTGACAGCGAAGGCGCCAATAGCTGCCCTGCTGGGGGTGTTGGAATTTATAACCCTGGGTTCTGGGGCATGGTATGAACTTTTACACCTTGTCTGAATGGGTTCAGTTTTCCATATTTCTTTTTCCTTCCTTCCTATGCGTTGCAGTTCTCCCATTTAAAAGTTGTGAAAGTTTTCCCCTCCGTCCATTTGAGTGGGATTTTTTTTGTTTTGCACACTAAAGTTATTTGCTGTAATGCCTAACTTTTGCAACCTACACACACACGTATGGAAATGTTGTCGTGGCAGACTGGCTGGCAACATAAGCTGTGAACATGACCATACATCAAGTCGATTTTTGCCAGAATTTGTGGTCCATGTTCATCGTTTAGCAACATGGCCATTTTTATGGCAAGATAACTTTACTCCACACACAAGAATAATAACAGCCCCACAGACCCATATTTATATATTTTCTGCATTTGTTCCTCCTGGCTCTTTGGTACGGTCCTTTTATTTATGATTTTTTGTTCAGAATATAGAAAAGGGGAAGACCTACAGTGTTGCGCTTTATGTTCGTTCATCTGGATCAATCAATGTATCCCTATCACTGACGGGCTTAGATGGGTTGCAGAAACTTGCTGCTGCTAACATTATGTGCGCATCCTCTGTTCTGTTGATATTTTGCAATCAAACGTTCCTTACTAAAACAATTTTATTCTGAAGTCAAGATTTAACTTTTGTATTTTCATTCCATATGCAGCGCTTCTGGTTCAGAAGTTTCAAACTGGACAAAATTCCAGATTCAAATGGAAGCCCAAGGAACAAATCCTAATTCAAGACTGCAATTGACAACAAATAGTAAAGGGGTGATATGGTTTGATCAAGTGTCAGCCATTCCCTTGGATACACATAAGGTACCTTTTTTCTCCCCAAATTCATGCATGCTTGTGGCTTGAGATTGTGTCATCTCACTATTTAGATGTGTTTAATCACCTGATCCTTGTTTTTCGAGGTTAGTACAATTATGTGTGTACACACACACACACACACAACACACACACATATATTCTTAGGAATTGATTTTTGCACACTGCTTATTTTTAAGCCATTGGATTGAACAAGGGGAGAATATAGGACCCAAATTAAGAGGTGGATTCTGGTCGGGATTATGGGAAAATACATGAAGTTGTAGCCAAGACAAATGAAAATGAAATTTCTTGAGGCAATTGGCGAAAAAAATCCACATCAAATAAGTCATGAAAAGCTAATCTTGAGTCCACAGTTCACCTCTTTATTTGTTGTCTGGTGGCTTGGAAGTCATGGAAAAAGTTGTGTGAGGAAGGAAATGTTAGTTAGGTGCGCCAGGTATCTGTGGTACTTTACTTGCAGAGAAAAAGAAATCCATTCTCTCTTGAGGTACTTTTAGTAATAAAATTATGTTCTTATAACTAAAGTAAGAAGCAGAATATTCTGGATTCTGGAATGTTATAAAAACATTTTATTAACAATCAAACTTAGATTTTACATTTTTCATTTTTTCGGAAATTTGGTCATGTAATCTGGTGTTGCTCAAAGTTTATGCGCATGTATATTGATTTGCCAACTTTCGACATGCTTACTTGTAAAGAACTTATTGATATTCTGATACATGCATTACTTATGTGTTGTTACTCATTAAGAATCAATTGATTTGGCTCAGGGACATGGATTTCGGAAGGACCTTGTCCAAATGTTGGCTGATTTAAAACCTCGGTTTTTCAGATTTCCAGGTAAATCAGGAATTACAACTTAATACTTGACTGCTGCTAAACTTGAGCTTTTCATATATAATTCTCCCTTGAAATATATGGAAGCTGAAATATGCAAGCTGTGGTGAGGCCATCTTGCCCTCACAGTTTTTAAAAAGAAACTTTTGTATGTGTACTTATTTTGTGTTTCTATGTGGTTAATATTCCTAATTTTAGTTGATAAACAATTCATAATTTATAGTCTTGATATATGATTTAGTAGTGAATTTTCAAGGTTGGAAAGGATTAACAATCTGACAGAAATATATCGTTGATGAAGAAATAAACATGATGTATTTATTAGCTTATTACTTGGAAATTAGTTACAATCATACTAAAAGGATGTATTTTCTATGAATAGCATGAAGTGAATGTCTATGCTATGGCAGGCGAATAGATGAACTTAACTATGTACATTGAATGTGTACATATGTATCTTTGTGTGTGTGTGTGTGTGTGTGTGTGATCGAAAAGTTACTATGCAACACTTCTCAAATTTAAAAACTTGTACTTATCAAATAGATTATTTTAAATGCTGATGTTTCTGTATGTATTTGGACATGAAATTTGTTTTCCTTATTCCGGAACCTTTGTGCTTGCTGTCCTGACCTCTTGGACAAAAAAAAAAAAATCTAGGGACACTTTTAAATTCCAATCAGTTCTAAAATCCTTGATTTTTAGGTTAATAGATAATTATGTAAGCCTTATATGTCCACTGTTTCCTCAGAATTCAACCTAATACACTTAGGTTTCATTTTTGTGTTTGGTTAGGTGGCTGTTTCGTTGAAGGTGAATGGTTACGAAATGCATTTCGTTGGAAAGAAACAATTGGACCCTGGGAAGAGAGACCTGGACACTTTGGTGATGTTTGGATGTACTGGACTGATGATGGACTTGGTTATTTTGAGTTTCTCCAAGTAGGTATCTTGTTGTTGTTGAGGAGTGATCGGGGCTCCCAGTATAATGCTGGTACTGTATGTAAACCATTATTAAAAAAACTTTTGTTTCTGCAGCTATCAGAGGACCTTGGCGCATTGCCAATATGGGTGTTCAATAATGGTACACTTTTTCTCAACGCTTTGCCTGTACTTTTTATAATCATGTTTTTACGTTAATTTATATATGTCATTGTTAACTTTCTCAATTTGTAGGAATCAGTCACAATGATCAAGTTGCTACTTCCAATGTCTTACCATTTGTACAGGTATGCCTGATAGCTGACCATTTCTCCGTAGATAATGGGTACCTGGCTTACTGTTACTAAAATTGATGTATCACTGAAGCAAATACATGCCGATGACACTAGTTTTTCAAAAAAATATGCTTAACCCGTGAAATCTATGACTTAGCTTTGTGTGCTTTGGTGTACAACACAAAAGATTTACCAAATATGGGTGTCAAGTGACTTCAGTGTTCTCAAAGCAAAACTTCATTATTGTCATTCCACTTAAAATGTAGCGTCTCTTTTGTAGCCAAGTTGGGTTGCTTTGGTGAGGGTAGGGCAGAGCTTCCAGCGGCAAATTGCCACTCTAGGAATACATCAAACATTGTGACAAACTGCAGTATGGTGCATTGGTCACTACTAGGAATCTCTGCATTAGGCTCTAACTTCTCAAACATAAAATAAATGGTTTTGGTGTCGATATCAAATTTATTGGATAACTTTTTTATTCAATTCTTAATCTTGTTATTATGCACGGTAGCTGATAAATCTCAAATTGATTGATTAACTTTCACATTTCTTGTTTATAGGAAGCTCTTGATGGTATTGAATTTGCTAGAGGCAGTCCTAATTCTACATGGGGTTCTCTTCGTGCTAAAATGGGACACCCAGAACCTTTTGACTTGAGATATGTTGCTATTGGGAATGAGGATTGTCAAAAAACGAACTACCTAGGTTTGTATATTTCGTAGTTCATGTTTCTTATTTAGAATATATACCTGATGTGGAATTTTGCTCTCGCAACACACGTTAACACCTGCTTGCATGTTACTGAGCCAATCATTTTTAACCCGTTGGAAACAGGAAGAGGGACCTTGGATTTTCAATATTGTGATTCGATGTATCTAACATTCTTCTTTTTAAAATTTATTTTAACTCTCACCAAGACTTATGCTTTCCCTCTTTCTCTTGACCAGGAAATTACCTTAAGTTCTATAGTGCTATAAGAAAAGCCTATCCTGACATCAAGATGATTTCAAACTGTGACGGTTCTTCTCAAAAGTTGGATCATCCAGCTGATATGTATGATTTTCATGTAAGTATCATAACACCGCTACTTGTATTCCACTTGACAATAATCATCTTTACCATACAACGTATGGGGCCATTGAAGATTTGGCAACATGGATGACATTTGCCGATAGTACTCTTACCCTCTGTTTTTTGTTTAGATCTATACATCTTCCAGCGACTTGTTTTCTATGGCTAATCATTTTGATCACACATCACGTGATGGTCCCAAGGTAGTTCACAAGCCCTTGTATGATTTAACCTGCTCAAGTTCCTACCTATTTTTCTTTCTTAGCTTTCAATATGATCCAGGCTTTTGTGAGCGAGTATGCCGTGACTGGAAAAGATGCCGGAACAGGAAGTCTTCTAGCAGCATTAGCTGAAGCCGGATTTCTTATTGGACTGGAGAAAAACAGGTGTGTTGTACATCTACGCATAATTTTATATTCTACTACTTTATAATACGATATATTTGCAAATACAGTATTTCTTCTCAAAGAAGTTAATTTCGTTCCTGCATTTCTGCATGTCACAACCATGTAGTGTGTTACAACATCTGTGTGTGTAAGACCAGCTGCACATCATGTTTATTGTCAATCGAAGAGTTCTGTTATTCCCAATCCCATAGAAATATTACTAGACTAAAGATGGCCTGTGCTTGAAGGTGGTCCAGGAATCTGATAAAGAAAGATGGTATTCATTAAATAGTTCCTCTCAGCGGCATGGATTATTAAGTAAAGTTAAAGTTGGAGGTCTCCCAATATACTTGTAGCATACGAATGCTTTGGCAATTAGAAATTCTAATGTTTTTTCGTTGTTCAGATTAGAAATTCGAGTGTTTAAACAAGAGTTCATCAGGATATTGGGGAGCTTTTATTATTTTAATGGATTGTAGGGATGAAGGGATCCAGATAATATCCATTTGTTACGGGTTGTCCTTGATATTAACTCTAGCAGTAAATTGCATAACGAACTACTAAAATATGTAGAAATCACAGTTTGTCATCATAATTTCACCTAATGCTACAGGCAAAGAGATAGGGGTGAGGATTGGAGTTTAGGAAGTACCAAAAAGTGAACGCTTTTGTTACCTTGGATCTATCTTGCAAAAGAACGGAGAATTGGATGGAGATCTCAACCATAGAATACAAGCTGGATGGATGAAGTGCAACGGGTGTGCTGTGCAACCATCGTATGCCAATAAAGCTTAAGGGAAAATTTTATAGGACTGGCAATAAGGCCATCAATGCTTTATGGCATAGAATGTTGGGCGGTCAAGCATCAACATGGGCAAAAAATGAGTGTAGTGGAGATGAGAATGCTTCGTTGGATGTGTGGGCAGACAAGATATGACAGGATTAAGAATGAGGATATACGAGGTAAAGTAGGGGTGGCCGCAATTGAAGATAAGATGAGAGAAAATCAGTTAAGGTGGTTTGGACAAGTGAACTGAAAACCTACAGGTGCTCCAGTTAGAAAATGGGAATTCGAGTTAGAGCCTCGGGGCAAAAGGGGTATTGGAAGACCTAGGAACAGTTGGAAAGAGACTTTAAGAAAAGAAATGGAGTACTTGGAGCTAACAGAAAATTTGGCTCTCTGGGATTCATACAGCCAACCCCATTTAGCGGGATAGGCTTTGTTGTTGTTGTTGTTGTGGTTTTTCAATACAGTGCCCTACCCTAAGTGTTTTCTTATGTACATGGATCCGGGGTTGTCACCTTTACATCTAATTTTAGCAAAAATATTTCTATAACTGTTAAAATGGGCAGCTACTGAGTACTTTTTTTGTCTACGAATGCAGTGATGTTGTTGAGATGGCAAGTTATGCACCGCTCTTTGTCAATACCCATGACAGACGGTATACTTCTCTGCTCGTTCCTTTTGTCTAATTTCAATTTTATATATTAAGGTGGTTTTCAATGCTGTTTTCAAAAGAGGATCGATGCTGTCTACTTATTACTAAATTGAAACTTGTCCATCATCAAGGTGGAATCCGGATGCAATTGTCTTTGACTCTGCACAGCTTTACGGGACTCCTAGCTACTGGGTGCAAACTCTTTTCAACGTATCTAGCGGAGCAACTATTTACAACACAACACTCCAAACAAATTCTTCTACTTCACTTCTTGCATCTGCAATTTCGTGGAAAAACTCAGAAAACGAGAATACTTACCTAAGAATAAAGGTATTTTTTTTTTTATGCTTAGTTGAGATCAGGTCATCCAACCGTTTCTTTTTTCTATGAACAACTTATAACATGTCAATACCCTTAAAAGTGTTTATAGCCATCTAATACGTAGTTGGACGGCCTAGAATGGAAACAAGCTCATTTATCACATTGTTCTTAAACAACCCTCAATATTCTTCATTTTCTGCTCAATTTTGGAATTCCATACGTATCTTGTCTGAAGCAACTACATGTTTAAACTGTAGCTATAATAGTAATCTTTAAAAAATTATCTGAGTATGTCGAACAGTCCTCCAAGGAAAAGAAAATAAATAATGAAAAATCATATTGCTCGGGGCACGTCAGTAATCCATCAACTTTTTCTTAGAGATGTTATATTTCTATAGTACAGTTGTGTCTTCACTGCAAATACATAAACATTTCTTGGAGAAGTGTCAATAGAGTGAATGATCATTTACGCAGTCATCCATTGTTTCTGTTTCGGCTTCTTTTTATCACCGAGTTGAAAAACGGTTTCTACCAATATGGTGCATATCGTATTCTGTGACGTTTCATTAATTTGTGATGATTATTGCCTTGTGCAGGTTGTGAACTTGGGAACCAACACAGTGAATCTGAAGGTTTCTGTGAACGGTTTGGAGCCAAATTCTATTAGTCCATCTGGATCAACAAAAACAGTGCTGACATCGAACAACGTGATGGATGAGAATTCCTTCAATGAACCAAAGAAGGTAACTGAATCAACTTTGTATCGTTAATATTTTCCTTCGTATCCTAAACGGTTAAATTCGTGGGAACCAGTGTTGCCTGCATATTAGGATCAGAAATCAAGAAAGATGACAGTTCTGTGGGCAATGTAACTGAATGCAGGTGATACCGAAACAGAGCTTGCTGGAGTCGGCTGGTGAGGAAATGGAAGTTGTAATCTCTCCGCAGTCTTTCACCTCAATTGATTTGTTACTGGAATCAAGCCTTAACGTCGGCACGGATGGAGCGGCTTCTCTCTTGTTTCTTCTATGTAAAAGTTAGGGATGAACATTGCATCGTGTCAATTAAGTCAAGTAAAATAATCCAGTTGCCAGTCCCAGTGTAATCATAGGCAATAATCCAGTGTAATTATATGAAATAACCTCCCTAAAACAGCGTTTCTCAGTTGCGGCGGGCACGTATATTTATTTGTAAATGTTCTGCGCAGTTTGAATTGACAAAACCGGTTTCTGTAATTCATTGTTCGAACCCTTAAATAACCTAATCATACCTTACAATAAACTTCCCTTTCAACATTGAAAAAAGAAAGTGAACTGACATGCTCCGTCGAACAGTATTCAACTTCACAAAATAAGCTACAAAGTCTCGTCACTGGAAACTCCGGCGGTAACAAACTAGGGAAGAACATGGGAACGAAATATGAGAGGGTAGGTACAGCATAATCCACTACTCCAACACTGCAAAAGTAAAAGCCATCGTTAGTCTAAAATTTCTTCATTTATTTTCGAGAAATCGATACAGAGATACTTAAATGGATTATAGGCAAGGGTTCCAAGTATATGGGGTAAAGCATACAACATTTGAGTACTAGGACTCAGACTTACCACAAAAAGCAAGGGTCCCTGTTTAAACTTGTCATGAAATGAAAATGCCACTGGTTTTGGATTGTCTCCGGGACCTCTAATAAACCCACTGAATTCACATCATGGTAAATCGTTAGTAACACAAGGATTGATATCCCGTTTTTCAGCAAAATTAATTCAATGAACGTGGATAGACAGAAAAAATTCATCATTCAGCCAATGTTTTAGAGAAAGAAAAAAAGTATGGTAACTACAATACAAACAATAAGAATAATCAACTCACATCAATGATGCAGATATTAGAGGGGTCCTCCTAACATCGTAAATGGCAATAAGACCCCAGTATAAGTCACCGCCATCTTTAAAAGATATAGCCAGTCGCTCTCCTGAAGCATCCCAAGCTATCTTCTCAATGCCTTGACTGAAGGAGATAACAACAAATCAGAACTGTTTTGGACAAACATTACAATGTGCAAGGGTTAATAAATTGAGAATATCTACCCCGATGTTTATTGCAATGCAACTATAATGTGAAATAATAAACCGTAAAGCTTTTCTGAAATTATTAGTTTGAGGACTGTTTAGTCCAATCAAATATTCAATCCTCATAAAGAACGTTTAATCTCTTGTCCAAACTGAAACAGAATGTCCAGGCAGGAACATAATACGAAGGAAAGAAGAGCGGAAGGATGACCTTAAATCTATTCATTTACATATCAGGCAATATGAATAGCATAACCACGTCTACTTTGGTAACTACTTCTTTTCTTTCCTTCTCATTTTTTTTTTACTTTTTCGTTTGTTTTCAGACGGCAATAGTAGCAAATGCATTGTCTTTGGGTACAGGAGTACATGGCAGCACACAGCACCGTGATCGCATGGTGAGGGATGGTAAACATGATGGGTGAATGACAAAGTAAGATTTAATGCAGTAAGCATTATAAGCACTCCGAAACAGAAATGTTGAAAACCTGACTTCACCTCTGACTACCTAATTAAGGCAGCTGGCCCTCTTACTAGACATTTCAGGAATTAAGAAAATTAATGGGTACCATAAAATATTTAAAAAATGAAAAAAAATAAAAAATAAAAAGTCTCAAATTAACTCGATTACAACATCCAGCTTATCAAGAAATAATGCGAATAAAATTGTCTTTTCCAATCAACTCATGAAGACAGCCCATTAAATTATATGTTGTTGATCAAACACTCATAAAGCAATCCAAATAGTGAAAAATAAACAATAAAAATGAATTAATGTATACCTATTTGTTAAGGACATCATCTCTGGTAGTTCAACAGGTAATAAGTGCGCATCTGCAAAATTCAAACATCACTTTACCAGTGAGATTCAGAAATAAAATGCAAGCATCACTTCAACAGGTAATAAGAACAGGTAATAAGTGCGCATGTCAAAAACTGTTATTTGTCATGACACCGTTGACATTTGTTTCAAAATCGAATTTCACAAGTTCTTTTTCCTCATGACAACCATCATATTACCAATCTGTTAAAAGGAACACAGTCTACATGAAAATGCTTCTTTAAAAAAATAAGTCAATATTAGCTCCCAAGGTTACACTGCTCCCACTAAGCAAGGAAATGTATTCAGAGAATTTTTATTCTTTTGAAATAAAGAAATCCTCGTATTGAGGGATATCACGGTGCAGATTGGGCAGGTTCTCCAACAAAGAGAAAATCACGAGCCTACACACTAAAGTGGCATCAGAAAAGGTTTTGACTCGTTTATCCCACTGAAAAGTATTTTGTTGACAACTTCACTAGGCATATCACAAGATTCATTCTACTTGCACCAAGCTGAGAGTCAGGTTCTATGCTCAAACTCCAGGAGTGTTGTTAAAGTAGGAAATTATAACTAAATTGCTTGATTTACGCTCCTGATTTCTTAAGTTAAAAGTCATTGTAATTGCTTGTTAGCTTAATTTATGGGTTGAAATTCTACAGCAGATTTTCAGAGAGATTTGATCCTATATTTTTTTAATAGCTTGTGAATTCCATTCATTGCAATACAATAAATAGATTGTTCTCCCTTTCTGAAGTTTTCCTTTTCAACAGAGAATCTGAGATCATAAAGACAAATGCAATTTTCAATCTATGGATGTCTTAATAACACTAGACAATACCCAAGTACTACCTCAAGTAATATAGATATCAGTTTAAGATTAAAAGCTTCCTCCAAAGCACTAAACTATTGTTGCTAAGCTTTTTTCTCAAATTTCATATTCTATATCCACAGTTTTGCTTTCTTTCCGAGATTTCTCAAACTATTTTCCACTAGAAAGAGGAGAACCTTAATTATTATTCAAAACATCTTATATGTTAACTTATTATTCAAAATATCTTATATGCCTGTTGTTAGGTTTCCAACAATGTTTTCATGTCGATAAGTTGAAAAAAAAAAAAAAAATAGACAATAAATAGGGATAAAAAGGCAATAGATGTTCAATGCACTCAAACATAACTTTCATCTAAGCTCACATACCAAGTGATGGAGGCTTTGAAGCAAAGTGAATTGAACCCATGGTTGAAGATTTAGAGAAAGCGAGAAGTATCATACGACCATCAGGATCCCATGATGCTCCCTAGTATAACAAGACACAATGTACAAGTATAAATAAAAAAATTAAACCTTCAGCCAATAAAGTACTTTCGGTTATGGAAATGTGCCATTAAATGCAATTCAAGAGTAAGTAATTAGTCATACGGACGAGAGAGAGAGAGAGGTGCAAAAGGTGGGGGTAGCCTAAACTTAAAAAATCTTGCAAGGAATTTGAACTGAACACTATAGAATTTCTATGCAGCACAAAATGGACAAAAAATAAAATAAAATAAAATAAAACAGGAAAAAAGAAAAGAAAATACAGAATAATGGCCCATAGGCTGCGACCTCAATCATCAAAATGTTTTTATAGCAGTATGTAAGGGTCATCAATTTAGAAAATAGAAAATCAAGACAAAAAATTGTGTGCAACAACAAATTAGTTAGATGTCAATTTTGTTTACCTTGACGAAGCCACTAGTTGAAGACCATGGTTCAGATGTCCATGTGTTTGTCTCCCAAAGATAAAATGTTCCATCACTGAAAAAAATAGAATGATCACCTTGTTCATCCAAAACTGCCCATTTTCAACTAAGATTAAGAAATATAAAAGTGCAACTGGTCAAATGATGAAAGTACAATTTTGCCGAAAAAAAGTAATCCCCAGTTGGCGACCACTTCAGCATTGAAATGCCACCCAGTCCTCGTCTAATAGGTGTCCCAAGCCCTGAGAAACCAGTTAAGGAAATGAAATCATGAGTTTCAAAATAAGAGTGTACTTTTTCTGCTTCAAGAAATAAAACCATCTTATCACTAATCAGAAAAATTTTTAAATTTAAAATAATAGATCCTGGCTAGAGTGGTTTGGGGGCAGAGAAAGATCCATAAATATTCACTCAGTAATGCGACCATAAGCCGCTTTTAGAAGGCACTTCCTATAATGTTTTGTAAAAGCGCCAAAAACACAGCATAAGCACAAGAAAAAGAACCTAGGCAATATACCAAATAATTCATTCCTTTTTTAAAAGAAAAGCAAATGCCAGCTTTTAAAAGCAGTATCAAATGAAGTCTTTGCCTTTTGTTGTTTTTGCCCAATCTTCTGAGTATCTACCAAATCATTCATTGAAAAGGATTCATTAGTAGTTTACTAACCAGTCTTCCTTTTGTCAGTTCTCCATCAGTATATGCAACTTTTTTATGATTAAGTCGCAAATACTTGAGGTTTAAGTTGAGTAAAAGTAAACCAGATCAAGTTATTTTGACAGAAAAACGAAATCAATAAATTAGCTACAATCTGTCCCTTTACAGCATGGATGTTTTAACATGAGTGTGTGTGTGTGTTTGTGTTGTCAAGAAAGAGACAATTTAAAGCTAACAAACAAGAAAAAACTACAAAGAGTGTGTTGTCAAGAAGACGACAACAACAAAGCCTAATCCCAACATTCAATGAAGCATTCTCATCTTCACTACACTCATTTTTTGCATGTGTTGATGCTTGACCGCCCAACATTCCTGCCATAAAGCACTGATGGCCTTATTTCCATCCTATAAAATTTTCCCTTCAGCTTTAGTGGCATACAATGGTCGCACAACACACTCGATGCACTCTTCCACTCATCCATCCAGCTTGAATTCTGTTGTCAAGAAGACCACTACAGAAAAACAAAAAGAAAAGCCAGCAAAGAAACAACGGAACAAAAAGACTCTCCCAGGGCAGAACAAAAACAGATAGCTGAGAAAGATCAACCCCCGAACTCATTGGATAGACAGCCCATAGCATGGACCAAAACTGAACTTTTTCTTAAAGCTCCTTACCCAACTTATTTTCATATCACTGAACAGCTTATGCCAAGGTAACGTCAAAGGGAAAGGATGGAAAGTATAAACAACCAATTCCATATTCTTCTTACATATTAGCACACCAATTGGGGACAAAATAGAATTTGGCCTTCTTCTTTGGACCATGTCACAAGTATTCACCTTATTGTGAGCCACAAGCCAAGACAGAATATTAACCCTAG